TATTTTAGGTCATTGACAATGACAAAGAGTACGCAGTTTCTGTTGATGTATCGCAGTTTGAACCGGAAGAGTTGACGGTAAGTTGCTGGATGTACGTCATATTACGGACCTGCAAGCGTATCGTAAGATAAGAATCTTTTAGGTGAATATCGTGGACAACACGCTGATTATCGAGGGGAAACACGGAGAAAAATCGGACAAATTTGGAAGGGTAAGAAAGCTACTACCATATTTCGTAGACCATTCCACAGGCTTGCTCGGGTTGATTATTTTATCAAAGTCGGATTTGTTAAATTTGTTATAGCAGCCCATTTCTTTTGTCTACAGATGGGTTTTAATTTTTTTTAGGTGGAGCGACACTTTGTTCGTAAATATGACCTGCCTTTGTCGGTAAAAGGTGAAGAAGTGAAAAGCGAATTGAGCAAAGAAGGAGTGCTAACGGTAAGATACGATCGTCATCCGGAACAGCAACCCAAGATTATTCCAATCTCCATCAAGCCAAAGTAACGACAGATTATATGCCTTCGCAATGTTACAGTATTTCTTTCCGATGTTCAAAGCGTACTAGCTACGCATTAATAAATGACTGTTTTGTAAATGTGATGTCTTAATCAAACTGTAGAAAGTACAGTATTGCTGAATGAACTATTTGAGGCAGAGTGGTTTTCTATTGCATGTTGAGGATTTTTAAAAAATGTGGTCAAGTTTTTTTTATTTCCAGGAATCAATCTAGAGGTATAAACCGCGTTTGGCTTTTAGGTTACCATTTTTAAGCTTACTGCGTACCCAACTACGCATACTGTAGGACTACTGTATAATTCACGTCCACAGGTCGTTCATGGCCGGAAGGTAGTCATTGTCTCTAAAACTAGTATCAGTGAGATTAATCCAAGACTTATATTATATGTCTTGCACTATAATGCCTTGATACATGAGACCCTAAAACACGAATTCTATACACCTACATATCTAATCTTACACCGTAATTTCTGTAAAAAAAAGGCTGTAGGTAGGCTTTCTACGGAAGCTCCTGCTCTATAAAGCGACCAAGGTTGAATTGCACGCATTTTGTTGGACTTTTAAACTTACAAAAGATATTTTTAATCACTTCAAAACCTATCTAGTTCATTTAAAACAACTATCACTCCATTACTTCCACTTACTGTCTTTTCGGGAATTCTATGTTTTTTCTCTGTTTTTCTTCAATGTGCGGTATTATTTTTCTGACCCTTTAAAGTTGTTTTGGCACATTCATTGGTAATCGATTATAAGTAATTACTCATTAAGCAGAATTGTAATAATATTAATATTTATCGCACGCAAATATTGTTTGCAGTAAATATCAGTTTCGTTTCTTAGATTTGTTGTTTTCTTCTCATTAATCAAAGTTGACCTTTTCGTCCTTCACCAAATTCCATGACTGAAAAATCATATCAGTTTAAATCTATGAAATTCAATTATATCAGTTTAAATCTATGAAATTCATAAATCTACATATCCAAATCTGCTAATCGTTTCTCGTACGCCATAGTAGTTTCTGAGATAGCAGTGAGAAAGAAAAATATGTATGTGCAGCTATATGTTTATGGGTAGTTCTTTACGAGGAAATTTATCATTGGCTCATCAATGCATGGATTGCGAAAATTGGGAACAAACTTTCCAATTCATCCTTTGCTTGAATTTTTTTTGGCGGCTATAGATCTATCAGGCGCATCTATAGATTTTTTCTCAAACTAATCATTCAAACTGCCAAAGCAAAAAACCATGGTCAAAATATTAAAGTATTTGACCTTAAGATTGGATGTCGGCTCCTGTTCTTCAAATTTTCCTGGATTTTTTGGGCGTTCTTCTGGTGGGGGCGGGATCTGGAAGGTGGAAGCTCTGGGAAATTAAGGAAGAAACCAAAATAAGTAAGATTTTTCTCTTTTTGCAGTTGAAAAGCTTGTATAGTTTAGTGCAACTCTTTGGAAAAGTAAGCACAAACTCAAAAGAATAATTTCTGAAAAACTTTCAGAAATACTAGATCATTGCTATTTCTTCTCTTCTATTTACCCTTATGAGCTTATCTGGAAGTAATTTAGTATAAATAGTGATGATCTTTTCTTGAAGCCTTTACAGGCTATCAGCTCAGATAGCGCTTTGGAACATCTTAGGATAATTGAAATACCAGAATACTAACTATCTTCCGCTCTGGGAAACCTTTATCCACATTCTTATTTTCAGCATCCGGTCGTGTTCCTTCCATAGCTGTTTTTTCATCACAGGCAGTCTTGTCCTGAACAACTGGTAGTGAAAGGCATAGGATAGCTATGGGACCACTTGTTGTCCCGTATTTTTTCGGAGAGAATGATGAAGAACTTTCGTCCTTACACGGCTTTTAAGGGTTCAGGGGGAGATTTCTAGAGCTTAGGCTAGTTTATGGCGTCATACTATGTAAATGGTGCAGTTAGGTAGAGTTTAAGCTAATTTTAAACCAAATTCCTTTAATGTAATCACTTTGCTTGAATTTTGTAATGGATATCTTGGTGTTTTGCTCCTTCTACTCCCTCAAATCTCGGAAATTTTCCAACACTGTGCGCGAACCTCTGGCAGCTTTTCTGTCGCCTGTGCTCCTGTTTTCTCTTCAGCTTTTACTCCAGTCGATGGACATACTTGTAACTTTGGACTTTTCAATGCTTGTGGTGTAGTGCCACTAGCTATTACACGTTCTTTTCTTGGCATTCCTTGCGAGTTATCTTCTAAATGGAAATAATTGTAATGCAGATATCTTAAAGTATAACAGGGCGAGCCCAATTCATAGTTCCTTCAATTCCATTACTGTTCAAAAGCTTTTAAGGTTATTGAGAAAGCAATGGTGCAATAGTTTGCTCACCTTTCATCCTCCGCTTTACACAAATAGCCAATATGACCGTAATAAGTAATATGCAGGGTATAACAATGCCAAAAAGTCTTCTCGTATCATACATCTGCCATGGGAATCGACCCGCACTAGAGAAAAGAAGAAATGAAGATGAACCTCTCTACTCATGGTTACTTTGTTTACAAAAAATCAATCATTTATTATCACTAATGTTGTAGCGAATAACTCAGCACGGAATTTAAGAGTGAAGCTCTAGACCAGACTACTTAAAATCTTGTGTCAAACTTTGAGTCGGCTTCATAGCTTACTGTATGGAAAGGTCTACAGTGCAAAAACTCACTATGATCTCACTTATTTAGAATAACAGCGATCTGAAAAAGAATCGTCTTAGCTGCAATGTCTTACTGTAAATAATCCAAATTGAGTGTTCTTTTAACTTATTTTCACACCTTACATACAGCGCCTTACATAACAAAATGAACGCAACTCTCTTCTTCCTTCTTTTTCTCTAAATTAATCATGATAGTATATATTATCATTTAACTCCTGGAGTTATTCGTCTTTTCCAATTCTTCTGCATCGTTTTCGTTTTCCTTTACCTGCAAATCAATAATCATTTGCTGCATATAGATCTTTGCGGTTTTTTGAAATATTGACCCGTCCTTTCTATTTCAGCTAACCCTAAGCCTCCAGTTTTTTTTGGTGAAACATATGCTTTTACACATCTATATCAGAGCTAGGGTA